ATTCTCCATCAGATGGTTTGACGATCTCCTCCTCGCTTAGTTCTCTTTCTGAGGCTTTGCTCTGTTCTCTCATTTGGGCCCCATTTCTTTCTCTTGGTGTAGCTGATAGGTTGGTTGTAAAGGGTAGAGTCTTAGGTATTCACCTGGGCAGGGCAACCCTCCTCGCTGCAGTGCAGTGCTGCCTGTGAGGGAGGGGCCAGAGAGGGAACAGTGCAGCTCGCCTGCTCATCTCTAGCGCACTTTTCAACAAACTCTTCTGTGGGACTGGGAGTTTCTCCCACCTGGGCAACCCCGGTTGTAGCGTAGCCCACAGTCAGCTCTGAGTCTCAGTTTTCCCCTTAAGTCAGCCCCTCTGCACAGCCCACTGAGCTCAGCACCCAGCCCTGCCTGCCCCTAGGTCTGCTGCCTCGAGGCCATTTTTCTGAGTTGGCCCATGTGGTCTGCCACCTTACTGATCTGGTTGTTCTGACTGATTTTTTTTCCCTTGGTTGTCAGAGTTCCATGCAGTTTGATTTTCTGGTACTTTTGGTTGTTTATTGTTTTTAGGTTGTTATCCTCCTTTTGGTTGTGGGAGGAAACGAAGGGTTTCAACCTATGCTTCTGTCTTGGCCAGAATCTGCTGATCCCAAATCCAAAACTCTTGACAGTCCAAGTGTTGGTGGTAATGTGGAGCAACAGGGGTGCTCATTCATTGCCTGTGGAAATACAGACTGGTACAGCCACTCTAGGAGACAGTTTGACAGTTTCTTATAAAAGTAAGCATACTCTTCTCATATGATCCAACAATCGTGCTCTTTGGTATCTGCCCAAAGGAGTTCAAAACACGTCTAAACAAAAATCTGCACATGATGTTTATGGCAGCTTTATTGCCAAAACTTAGAAGCAACCATAAGTGTCCCATAATAGGTGAATGAATATGTAAACTGTGAAACATCCAGATGGCAGAATATTATTCAGCACTAAAAAGTGATCCATTGAGCCATGAAAATATATACTACTGAATATTAATTACCTAATTAAATGTATATTAGTATTAAATATAATTATTAATTAAATCCATACTACCAAGTGAAAGCCAATCTGAAAAAGCAACATAATACATGACTTCAACTGTAACATTCTGGACGAGGCAAAACTGTGGAGACAAAAGAGTGGTTGTGAAGAGTATGGCAGGGATGAGTAGGTTGAGCACAGGATTCTTAGGGCAATGAAACCACTCTGTATATTACAATGGTGTATACATGTCATTTGTTCAAACCCATAGAATGTACAGTATAACACCAAGAGTAAATCTACGGCAAACTGGAGTTTGAATGATAATGATGTGTCATGTAGGTTCTTCAGTTGTAACAAGTGTACCAATGCTGGTGGGGAACGTTGACAGTAGGGAGGCCATGACTATGTGGGGCAGGAAGTATATGGGAAACCTCTGTACCTTTGTTTCAATTTTGCTGTGAAACCAGAGCTGTTCTAAAAAAAAAAACAACTTAAGAAAGCCCCAAAACATAACCATCTGCCCCTGGACTGACATCATGACCCCTGCCCAAGAGCCTCTGTGTGTGTGTGTGTGTGTGTGTGTGTGTGTGTGCGTGCGCGCGCGCGCATGCATGGCAGAGCATGGTGGCCAAGAGCGAGGACTCTGGATCAGACCACCTGTGTCCAAAATCATAGTCCCGAGTAGCTGTGTAGCCAGTGAATTATTTAACCTCTCTGCCTCAGTTTCCTTATCTATGAAATGGGGCTAATAATAGAACACAGGTAGCAAGCACAAGGCCCATGGGCTGAATCTGTCCCTCCACCTTGTTTTATCCGGCTGGCAGCGCCGAGCTCCTTGCCCCTAGTTAAAGAGTAGTCACATTTACACAGTCCTAAAGTTACATTCGGCCCTTTGAAGGCAACCAGGAGGCTGATGTAGCCCCCAGTGAAAATGAGTTTAACACCCCTGTAATAGAACCTCCTTCAAGGCGGTTGTAATACCTGGAAAGTTCTCAGAACACTTGTTGGCACATAGTGCCTGTTCAGTGTTTTTTCTCTCTCATTTCTCTTCTGTGAATGACTCAGCACTTTGGGTATGTCACACAGCGCACTTTTACATGCTATTGTAATGGGTTTTTTTTAAGTTGTTATTTCTGTATTTCCTCCTGCTACTGAATCATAACATACTGTTATTTCTTTCAACAAATAAGTCTGGACCCTATTTCCCTTTAGCTACTGTTCTATTTTGGGGTTTTGGTTTTTTTTTTGGTTTCTCTTTTACAGCAAAATTGCTTCAAGAAATTTTCTATATTTGTTGCTCTAATTATTTTTTTCTCCTTTTTCTCATCAATCCATATATTCAGGGGTTTTTACCTCATTAGTCCAGTGACTCTGCTCTTGTCAGTCACCAATGACCTCCACTGCAAAGTCCACTGGCAGTTCTCCATTATAAAGTTCACTTGACCTCTTCTTAAACCTTTTTTTCTTGGTTTTTAAGACTCCACACTCTCCTAGTTTTCTAAGATGTGTATTCTTAGTCTCTATTGTTGAGTCTTCTCATCTTTCCAGCCCCTTTAGTTGGAGTCCCCAGAGCTCAGGCCTTGGGCCCCTTGTTCATCCACACACTCCCTTTTGTAGTCTCATCCAGCTTCCTAGCTTTAAATATCTGTCTGGTGCTGACTTTCGAAAGTCAAGCCAAAACCTCTCTTCTCAGCTCAAGACTTGCATAGCTAATAGCCTGCTAGACATTTCCTCTTGGATGTTTAATAGACATCTCAAACTTTCAGCATTTCCATCATAATTGCTAATTCTCAGCCCCTGCTCTATCTGCAGTATTCCAGTGTAGAAGCTTCCATTTGCTCAGATCAATATCTTTGAAGTCATATTTGACTCCTGTCTTTCTGTACCTGTCTCCTGTCTGTGAATCCTTTTGGCGCTACCTTCAGAATATATACAGAATGTACTGTAACTACTTAACCTTTCTCACTACCGATGATCAGAGGTATCACCATTTCTCAGCTGGATTATCCCCAAAGCCTCCAAACTGGTCTCCCTATTTCTTTCCTTGCCCTTTCTCCATTTCTTACTCTGTCCTCAATTCTGCTGCGGGTGATCCTAAAATATTTCAGATGAAGTCACTCCTGCCTTGCAAAAAGTCCTTATAGTTGCCCACAAGGCCTTATTCAATCTAGCTTTCTGTTATTTTTTTACCTTTATATTTAATCTAGCCACAGCAACCTTCTTGCTATTTCTTAAACATACCAGGCATGCTTCTGCCTCAGTGCCTTTGTACATATTCTTTCTTTTAAATGGAATAATTTTTCCCAGTTATTTGCAAGATTGATTTCCTTACTTTTAAAAGTCTTTGTTTATATTACCTTCCCAATAAGGACTTTCATGATCATCCTATTCAGATTTTACCCTCATCCCTTTTCTTGTTTTTAGTTTTCTCTGAGCACTTATCATTTTTTCAGAGATTTCACAGGTTCAGATATTTGAGAAGACTCACAGGACTCCACTGAGCATAGTCACTTAAGATTTTTATTTAAAGGCAAAGGATATATAAAGTACAGGAAAAACAAGAGTATGGGGAGGCATTAGGAATCCTATTTGCCTATAGTGTACCCTGAATCGAACACCAAGATCTGTGTGGAAGTTCCCAGGGGGTCTTGTATGCCCCTCTGGTCACAGAATCAAGTAATGCTGTCCAACTACATAGTTAATGTAGATTGAAAATCATCAGCTAATAAACTGGCTGTGGGAATGCCAGAGGCTCCTCAGACATAAAAATAGAGCTTTCCCAGTTTAGTTTTAATTAACTTGATCCTACATGCCTTCTATAATACAATATAACTTCTGAGTGGCATGGCTCAGTTGCTGGAGCATAGTCCTGCAAAGCGAAAGGTTGCAGATTCCATTCCTGGTCAGGACTCGTGCCTGGGTTGTGGCCTGGTCCCTCATTGGGGCACGTGCAAGAGGCAGCTGATCAACATTTTTCTCTCTTACTTTCTCCCTTCCCTTTTCTCTAAAAATAAATAAAACCTTTAAAAAATACAACTTCTTTTTTTAAAGATTTTATTATTTTTAGAGAGGGGAAGGGAGGGAGAGACAGGGAGAGAAACATCAATGTGCGGTTGCCTTTTGTGTGCCCCCTACTGGGGACCTGGGCTGCAACCCAGGCATGTGCCCTGACTGGGTATTGAACCTCGACCCTTTGGTTCCCAGTCCACCACTCAGTCCACTGAGCCACACCAGCCAGGGCAAAAAAACAACTTTGTTTATTAACTACCCTTCCTCACACACAGATTATTAGCTCCATGAGGGTAGAATTTTTTACTATTTTATTGATTGGTGTATTCTTAGTTTCTACAGTTGTGCCTGATGAATAGTAGGAGGCCTAATAAATATGAGCCGAGTAAATTATTGAGGGGAGCTTCTCTTTAACTACATAACTACATTAGGAGACCACTTTGAAGCCAATGAAAAAGGAATCTCTAGTGTCCTTCATGACATCCAGACCATGGTCAGCAAACAGCCAACATTCAGTAGTTGATTATTGAGAAAATGGGTCTCCAGGGGTCCACCCACTTCAGACACCATTTCAGAGTCTCCTAAATGTCTGCAGCCAGATGCTCAAGAGTGATTTGAGCAATGTCATAAATAATTCAGACCTTTTCAAAGTGAGATTTTTTAGGTGTCTTGCTGAAGTATAATACCCCTAGGCTATCAGAGTTCTTTTCCTCTGCAGTCAGATGGACTGTTTTTCAGTGATGTGGAACATTTTGGCAGCAGGTAATACGATTTTGTTTCGGGCCAATTTTTTTTTAGTACATTTCTGAAATTTTAATATAAATCACTGGGAAAATATGATTGCTTTAATCAGTCTTTTGTGAGACAAAACTACTTAAGTTTCCAAGTTTTGTGTTGTAATGGGAAGCAACTGTTAATCACCTGTAGCCCATTGTTTTACATTTTACATAACAGGAATAAGCAACATGTTTGTTATTTACTCTGTTATAACCTAGGTACGTCGTTTCAGAGAAAGCAGACAAAAAAATACCAATGAGGAAGATGACGAAGTTCGAGAGGTAGGTTTCTGCTGTGAATTCCTGTGCTTACATGTCAGTTTGTTAAATCAGAATGACCAATAGGTTTATTTAGAGTAGTCAGTCCATGGTGGACAGGACTGAGCGGGCATGGCTGAGGACAGGTGCCCTTGACTCGGTCCAGTCCAGCCTACATTATTCTGCTTGTTGATATTCTCTTTTTCCCTTTTGCTTGTTTAAAATTTATTTGTGTGTTTGTGGGTGGGGCTAGCATATACAACAAGAACCCTTAATCAAAATAATACCTAATTATTACAGAGCATCATATCGGTAAAAGATAAAACCTTACGCTACTGAGCCAATATTATTTTGAGCAAAAAGGAAGAAACTTAGTGTTTTTTGTTTAGCAGTGTTATTGTAGGTAAATGTACAGTGTCAAGTGGCCTCTCCAAAATGTTGAAATTAGCTTAATCACCGTCATCGCTGTCTTCTCAGTCTCTTTGTAGTTTAGAAGCTTGAGACTGGCAACCATTTGCTTCAGTTTTGGGCCCTATCTGGTACTTGGTGAATTCACAATTAAAATATATTTTCCTATTTCCTTATTGACCTTGTGGTTTTTTTATTGCTATGTGGTATTTAAAATTTTATAAATTATTTACTTTTGGGATTTTGCCTTGATGGCTTTCATTTAGCATTTTGTGTAGGGCCTGTTACGGGTAGCCATTCTGTGTTGTACCAGGAATACAGATATGAAGAAGGTATGGTCTGTGTCCACCAGAGACTCTCGGTTTAGTAGGTGAGACAGACATATATGGAAAGAAAATATTAAATCTTAGGAGCTGAAATTTTATCCTTACAGAATTAGTGTAATTGTCTTACTCATCCATTTTGGTTTCCAGTATTTCAGAGCTGTAGCTGATGAGTGGTGTATTAGAAAGAGTTGAAGTGCTTGACATACCCTCTAACTTTTATAAGCCTCACTATTTTCTGTGCTACAATAAAAAAAGGAAGTCGCAGGAGTTACCCTCTTCCTTCCACTTATTTATCTATTTATTTATCCTCTCCCAAGGATGTGTTTTATTGGTTTTAAAGAGAGGGAGAGAAACATCAACGTGAGAGAGAAACATTGATGGTTGCCTCTCATATGCTCCTTGGCCAGTTCACAACCTGTAACCTAGGTATGTGCCCTCAGTGGAAATTGAAAGCACAACCTTTTGGTTCATGGAACAATATTCCAACCAACTGAGCCAACCCGGCCAGACCCCCCTCTTCCTTTTAAATAATATGTTTTGCCTTATTTTAAGCACATCCTTTGGTAAAAGTCAATACCTGAGACACTAAGAAGGATAAAGAAAAGAACCCTGTGTAAGCAGATAAGATTCTCAATTTGGCTTTCCCAGCCCTGAACTCTTCCAAAGGAACCCGTTTTCATAGGTAATATGCTAATAACTATTATGTATTACCACAGCCTTTAATGACAAGCAATTTTAGACCCTGACATAAGAAGAAATCAGTTCTCAAGTAATTCTACACCATCTCCGTAGGCCCTGAGATAGACTCTAAGCCCCCCCCCCCTTTTATTTCCGTTTAAAAATACCTTCCAAGCCTAAATCTGATTTCCTTCACTTAGTTTATTTCTGATATTCCACACTTGCTACTTAGGATTTCAGACTGATTTAATAATGGCACTTACCTGAAATTTTAAGGAATAAGGAAGTGACATTATTGGTGGGGTTTTTTTTGTTCCATCTGTCTTATAAAAGTTTGATGTTCTGTGACTCCCACTTCCACATCCACAAATTGAAAAGACAAGTGAGAAGACAGGTGAAACTGAAGGACATATGGTGGGGCTGGAATTTGAACCTGGCGATTTCTACCTGTAAACCTAGACTTGTCCACCATACTGTGTCCTAATTTTGTATTATAATACCACTAACACAATGCATGGCCAATGATTGGCTGAAAATTTGAAACTGCTAAAACTATTGTGCAGCACATCAAAGTCCCAGGGGTTCATAATAAGCACAGAAACAACTGCTGTGCCATTTACAAGATGGTTTTTGGAAGCTCAGTGGAGGAGATGAGATTAGGGACCCCCCACCACACTTACTATATTTGTACCCATCTTACAGAATACCCTTGAAGCAGAAACGAGAGTTTGCCAAGTGGCAAGAATGAATGGTTACAAAGAATGATTTCTGGTTCTTAGATTATTTGACTTAAAGATTATCTTTTAATTGGACAGATTGCAGAAATATTTTGTTACAATGGATGCTTTGTGTTCGAAGCCACTAACCTCAGTTTTTAATTGCTCTTTTTAAGAGTAAGAGTGAACATTTTATTCAAGGAGGGTAGGGATGACATGACAGATTTCATAGTGGAGTTTTTCAGAAGAAAGAACTGGGTTTAGATTTTCACCTACATTTTAAGACCTTCCTAGGTAATTTTTTAGCATGCCATGGAACAATAATTAAATAATTAAAATAATTAATAATTAAATTATTTTAATTCCCATGATACTATTTAGAACTTGACAAATGGAGTTGGAGACTTTCCTAATGTATTTCACAGCGTTGCAGAATCATTTAGCTCAATATGAATCCCAGTACCCAGCTTAAATTATTTGAACAAACAAAAGCATTAGTCCTTCCACTTAGAGGGGAAAAAAACCATGCTTTAAGGTTTCTTGTTCCCCTAGAAAAACTCTCAAGTATTTTCTTTAATTATAAGTTCACACTTAAGTAAAAAGCCAAACAGTAACTATTTTAGGCAGGCCATGTATGGCCTCTGTCACATACTGTTATGTTCAAAGTTTTTTTTACAGCCCTTTAAAAATATAAAACTATTCTTAGTCTGATCCACAGTCCATAGTTTATCCGGCTTCTGATTTCTTATATTCTATCTGAATTTGAGGCTGGGTAGATTCCCTCTTTCAAATGGTAATACCAAATACTATCAAATAGAGTGAAAGGCAGGTACCCCACAGATGGGAAAAAATTTGCAGATTATATATCTGATCAAGGCTTGATATGAAGAATATAAAGTGCTCCTAAAATTAAACAATAAAACAACCCAATTTCAAAATGGACAAAGGACTTGAATAGACATTTTTTCAAAGATATGTGAGTGGCCAATAAGCACGTGAAAAGAAGCTCAATCAACTTTACTAATCAAAATCAGGAGACACTGACCTGGCCAGGTGACTTAGTTGGAGCTTGTACCCTACACCAAAGGGCTGTAGGTTAGTCCCCTGTCAGAGCATGTCCCTAGGTTGTGAGTTGTATCCCCTGGTTGGGGTGCATATGCGTGGCAACCAGTTGATGTTTCTCTCTCACAATAATCTCCCCCCCCCTTCTGTCTCTCTAAAATCAGTAAGCATATCCTTGGGTGAGGATTTGAAAAAATTAAAAACAAAACAAACAGGAAACACCACTGTATACCCTTCAGGGTAGAGAAATTGGAACCCTTGTGCATTGCTGGTGGCAATAAAAGGCTGTATGGGATATAATATGAGGGCTCCTAAAAATTAAACATAGAATTACTATATATGGTGTGGCAATTCCACTTCTGTGTGTTTACCCAAAATAATTGAAAGCAGGGACTCAAACAGATATTTGTATACCAATGATCATAGTATTGTTCACAACAGCCAACAGGTAGTAACAATCCAAATACCCATCAAAAGATGAGTGGATAAACTAAATGTGGTATATACATCCAGTGAAATATTATTTAGCCTTAGAAGGAGTGAAATTCTGATTATACTGTAGCACAGATGCACCTTGAAAACATACGAAGTGAAGTACGCCAGACACAAAAGGACAAATATTGTTATGAATTCAGTTACATGAAATACCTAGAGTAGTCAAATTCATGGAGACAGAAAGTAAAGCAGTGGTTCCCAGGGGTGGGGGCACCCAGGGAGCGGGGAGTTACTGTCTGATAAGCTGCAGCATTTCGGTTGGGACGGCGTGCAAGTGGTGGAGCTGGGCGAGTCAGCGGTTGCACAACAGTGTGAATGGACTTAATGCCACTGAACTGTTATTCATTTAAAATGGTTAAAATGGTAAATCTTTATGTTGTGTATATTTTAATGCAATTTTAAAAAGTAATACTTTTCAAGATAGCATGTTTCCAAATCTCACAGAAATATATGGAAACATCGTCTTGTCATTGGCTTTAGATCTACACTCATGGCGTCAATTCTCAGATGTGCTTCGTAGATATAGAGCCTGTCACACAGAAGAGGCGGAGTTAAGATACTTTGAGATGTTCGAGATGTTATAAAATTAAGGTGTAATGTTCAGACAAAGGGAAAGTACAAAATTTGGAAATGATGGCAATTCATTCCAAGAAATGATAAAAGGGTATTTTTTTATATTTACATTTAAAATTTTACTAGATTTTGCCAAATTGTTCCAAAGGTGTTACGCCGAGTTTATGTTCCAACCAGTAGTGTCAGGGAATGCTATTTCCCCAATCCTGTCCTGATGTCTTACCACATTTTTTGATCTTTACAAATCTAAAGGGCGAGAAATTATTTCTTGTTGCTGTTTTTAAGTCATACTATTTATATTACTAGTGAGTCTGAACAGTCTTTGTAAATCATATGAAAAACCTGGTCATCTTTTTTGCCTAGAAATTTTTTTTGGAGGAGGTGAGCTAGGGCAGTGGTCTTTCTCTAATTCAGGGGTGTCAAACTCATTTTCACGGCGGGGGCCACATCAGCCTCATGGTTGCCTTCGAAGAGCCGAAATGACTTTAGGCCTGCATGACTGTAGTCACTCCTTAACTGTAAAGGAGTTGAAATTACCCCTGCTCTAGCTGATTTGTGACAGCACCCATGTGAAGGTGTGTGCACACTGTGTATATATACGCTTAGGGTTTTTACCACGTAAAAGAGTAGCCGCTTATTGCTGAGGGGTTTTTGTTTGTTTAAATCCAGAATGGGTGATGATTTAAATGTCTTTTCAGCATCTGTGGAGATAAGCGTGTTGGAGTTGGAGTGGGGAGGGAGTCCTCCTGTGTTCTGTGAATACAGTGAATGATTGATATTAGCACATATCCCATTATTGACTTATACTCGGTATCACTTTGTGAACCTCCTGGTAATGGGTATAGTGGTCTTTCCACGTGCTCCTGGATTCTCTTTGTTTGCTTTAATATTCACAAAACACTGTAATTTTCTTTTTGTGCATATAATCCTTTGTCAGTTTTCAGTACTATTTTATGCTGGCTTTATAAAAAGAATTTGGAAACCCTCTTTCTTTATGTTCTGGTATTATTGGAATAGCAGTGGAATAATCTGTTCTTTGAATGTTTGGTAGAATATACCTGGCTGTTCTTTCTGAGAATGTGGTTCTTTTAGCAGTTTTCTCAAAAACATTTTTTTAATAATTAGTCTGTGGAGACGGCCTATCTCAGTTTAGGTCACTAATTTTCTAAATTACTTAGAATTGAGCAGAATATTTTGTTGTGATTTTTAAAATTTTACTGTTTAGAATTTAATGATATTGTTCTTAGCACCCCACTATATGTCAGTTAAAGCATTTCAGGGGGTCTTGAAAAGAAGTGTGTTATTTTCAGAGTATATAGTTCAACATGTATCAATTAGATCTAGCTTGTTAATTATGTAATTAGATACTCCTTTTTTCTTTAAAATCTACTTTTTTTTAGTGTACAGCTGGTTCTTATTATTTGTAGTGGTTATGTTATATAAAATCACTGTAAACACTAAATTAGTGAACACTGAACTGTGTGTCAAAGGGAAATACAGGATTAGGTTCCTGCCAGCTAGTGGTTACAACGTTTTCATCAACTGAACAATATATAACCTTTTTCATGTGTGTTTCTGTTTAAAGACACCACATTTAATGTACATTCTTCATTTGTTAACATTGAACTCATGGCCAACATTCTAGTAACTCATGTCTGAATGAAGCCTATCTAGCACGTGTATGTCTGCTGTGAGGCACATTACAGCCTTGTACTAATTTGGAACACAGTAGTGTACACTGGGGGAGCCTTTTTACCTGTACACTCACCCAAAACCACAAAATTACCAAAAACGTGACACTAAATGTATTACAGAAGGGACACTTGTTTAAAGTTCAGGAGCCGAAACAAAAAGGCTGTCACTTTGTTTGACCTCATCTGTGTATGTGTGTGTCAGGCAACTCAGAATTCTCACCACTCTGCACATGTCCATGGATAACCAGGAAAGAATCAGGAGTGCAGGTTTTGGAGTTACAAATACATTTTCTCAAGTAGGTGAATTTGAAAACATGGAATCTAAGGATGAGGATTGACTGTACTTTATCTGGGACAAGAAAGATGAATCGAAATCTTTTTCTACTGTTTAAAAATATTTATTGTGGCCCTAGCTGGTATAGCTCAGTGGATTAAGTGCAGGCCTGTGAACCAAAGCATCTCTGGCTTGATTCCCAGTCAGGGTACACGCCTGGATTGCACGCCATATTCCCAGTATGGGGTGTGCTAGAGGCAACCACACATTGATGTTTCACTCCCTCTCTTTCTTTCTCTCTTCTCCTCTCTCTAAAAATAAATAAATAAAATCTTTAAAAATATATATTTTTGTTGTATTTCCTAACGTTTTCTCTTTTTGCATTGGAATACCATGCTGAGCCCTTCATGTAGTGAGTTGGCTGTTGCTTCACTTCAGCTAAGACCATCTTCACAAAGCCGGATTACTTCTCCCCTCCCACCCCCTTCATTCCTGTTTCAGCCCTGCCTGCCTCATTGAGCTGTGTCTCTCCCTAGTTCGTGGCATTGCATAGAGCTTAGAAATGCTCTAGCCACCTCTCCTCAGACCCAGAATTTATTATTTCAAGTAAGAAAGACTGTTGTTGTGGCCTCTTGATATATGCACATCAATTTTAGAAAACTCTGCACTGCCCAGAACTCTTCTCAATCTTCTCCCTTAACCAGGTCAAATATTTACCATATCCATTAACTTATTGTAGATTTTTGTGTCTGGGAGTTACAGCTATTTTCTAATTTTACTGAAAATATATTGTGTTCTATTTTTATTTTCCTTGTTAAGTTTTGTTTGGTGTAGGGGAGGAAATCAGGGAACATTGCTTTTATTCTATTTTTAATAAGAAACTCTGTATTCATTCAGAGTTAATCACAACATTTTGTAAATCTCAAACTTGTCTTACCTAAACAATTTCTTTTTTTTTAAATCCCTTAACCATTTTTACCCTGTCCCCCAGTGTCCCCTCCTCTTACAGCTGTCAGTCTGTTGACATTTTCTTATCAAAGTAAAATTTGTGGCATATTTTTGGTTTTTATTTTTTTATAGGCTTTCAGTTGCTATATTTTACTTAATTCTTGTTATCATATTTATGAGATTATTGCTATTGTTTTTTATTGCAAAAGTAATATTTTAGAAAAAGTATAATGTAGAAAATTTGTAATATTTAAGAATAAAGAAGAAAACAAAAGTAGCCTAAAATTTTATCACCCAGATAAAATAGCTATTGTTTGTAAATTTTTTCTTGTTATTTATTGAGCCCATTGTACAAAGTAGTACGAGTGGTAACTGTCTCTTACAAGTGGTGTTGAATTAGGGGAAATTGCCAGTGTTCTCCCAATTCTGAAAGTTTTGATCCTGTGAAATATTTTCTTGCTTGGTAAACATTTCAAATGGTCTCATTTTACAGGTAGTATTGTAAATTGATCTGACAAATTATAGGTATTGATTTTGATTAATAGGGGAAGGAGGTTGCTTGTTTTATACTCTTACCGCATGGTTAGTGAAAAATAATAATATAGACATTTTTTTTCAATATTAAGTATTTGTGTGCATGATCAGACTGATGGCTTTTAGAATGCTGCATTACCTACTATTGTGTACTTTCTCCCTGTTACCTCCCTTAGGCCATGACTAGGGCCAGAGCCCTCAGATCTCAGTCTGAGGACTCGGCTTCCGCCTTTGGTGCTGATGACTTCATGAGCACAGGTTTGGCAGAACAGGTGGCTGACGACTCTGATGACAGCACCACAGCAGAAGCCAACAAAGGAAGGGGTCGAGGAAGAGGCCGAAGAGGAGGAAGAGGACAGAATTCAGTGTCCAGAGGAGGATCTCAGAGGGGAAGAGGTTAGCACTGAATACAGTGCCGTCTTTTGTACACATTTAACTAGGCCGTTGCGTGGGAAATACAGAATTGTGTTGTTGTTAGAATTACGTTACAGAGTCTTTAAAAACAGTTTTTATAATGCATAAAGTCAGTCTCTAATATAGTTCAGACAAGTACATTTTGCTCAAATAAATTTTGAATGGCTGTGTGCACACAGGGCTTTCATTGCTCTTAACACACATGTTTTTTAAAAGAACACTGTGTTTTTCACATAGTACCTTTAGGTACATTTAATATCTTGTTTTCTCTTACATGTACTAAGTGATAGTGAGGCAAAAATATGCTGTTGAGGAAAATGATTTGCATTGGCAGCAGGAAGAAAATTTCAGATCATAAAAATTAATATTTTTGTTACTGTCATAAGATACATATGCCCACATTCTTGGCAGTGGGTTTGTAAAATTTGTTTGAAAAGAAAAACCACCCTAAAATACAATTTGATTTATTAAAACAACTATTAACATTTATTGCTATCATTGTGTTTAATATGACACTATTATCACTGAATAATCCAAACAATAGAAAATAATCACCCGGTCACCTCCTGATGTGTTATATAAATCCATCCCTAGGAATATTTAAAAATTATTCTATTAAGTATTTTTTTTAAAGATTTTATTTAGAGGGGAAGGGAAGGAGAAAGGGAGAGAAATATCAATGTATGGTTGCCTCTCGTGGGTCCCCTGCTGGGAACTGGCCTGCAACCCAGGCATGTGCCCTGACTGGGAATCGAATCGCTGTACTTTGGTTCACAGGCCTGTGCTCAATCCACTGAGCTATACCAGCCAGGGCTGTTTTATTAAGTATTCTTAATAGGTATTTTAAGCTGGTAAAATGGATAGTACTTTAGTTAAAAATATCCAAAGGTAGAAATCTTCATTTTCTAGTGATAATTATTATCATTGTCCTTATCATTTAAAAAGTTTTTCCTTAAATTTTAATTGGAATAGTATGAGCTAAATGTGGTAGAATAGTTTCAGAAATTTGACTGATTAGACTCTACATGTTTCTTCTTGTGTATATCACTGACTTTTAATGTGTAAACTGTGTTTTGACATTACTTTGTTTAGATTTCATTTTGTTGAAGTTTAATAAAAAAAAACTTTGGCTGGTGATGGGATTGTATACTAATTGCTCATTATCGTAACAGCAGGCACTGGTCTGGAGACTACTACTCGAAGCAGAAGTTCAAAAGCTACTACATCAACATCGAAAAACATGTCTATTATAGATGGTGAGTACAGACTGCAAATTATTATCTAGCAGTTATTTGTAAACACGGGAAGACCTGGGAAGCCCATTAGTAAATCTTACTGGCTTGTCATCACTGAGGAATCAAAAGGGTTATTAGAGTCAAAGTATAAATTATGCTGATTTAAAAGATCTTCAGGGCTTCCAGTCAAGATGGAAGCATAGGTAGATGTGCTTCACTTTCACACACAACCACAAAAAGAATTACAACTAAACCTCAAAAAAAAATAACACCTAGAATGGTCCGATAATTGAACTGTATGGAAGTCCGACAAGCAAGGATTTAAAGAAGCCACATTCATCCCAACAGGTAGGAGAGGTGCAGAGGGAAGGAGAACACGGTGTGGCACAGAGAGGCAGCAGGGGCAGAGTGGGCGGTCCCGCATTCATGTTTGGTGGGTACAAATCTGGAGGGACACTTTGGGAGCAAGCAATCCCAGCTCCAGGCCAGACTGCACAGCCCAGGGTTCCAGGACCAGGAAGACAAATCCCCATAACTTCTGGCTATAAAAACCAGTGGGGATTGGGTGTGTGGAAGACTGCCAGTTTTTTTCAGGAAAGTCTGTTTAAAGGGCCTGCACGGACTTACAATGTAAACAAACAGCCACACTGGGATTCACCACCAGGGCAACAGCTGGAAGGGCACCAGTCCCATACCAGAAATGGGTGAAGTGACTAGAAACGGGGTGAGTGCTGGGCAGACCTACAGAAGCCAGGCAGCTTCTCCTCTACAAGCCCTCCCCTGGCACAGAGCCACAGAGCAGTGAATCAGGTTGCCCCACCCTGGCAAATACCTAAGGCTCCACCCATATAACTCAACAGGTGCCCTAAGACAGGGACCAAATACAAAGAAACAAACACAGGGACACTGCCACATTGAGGAGACAAAGAAATATGGCCCACATGGAAGAACAGAACAAAATTCCAGAAAAAGAACAAAACAAAACAGATAACCAACCTATCAGATGTAGAGTTCAAAACACTGGTGATCAGGATGCTAAGAGAACTCACTGAGTACAGCAACAATGTGAAGAAATGAAGGTCACGCCAAGTAAAATAAAGCACAATCCACAGGGAATCAACAGTGAGGGGAAGGAAGCTAGGATTGAAATCAACTGTTTGGAACATGGGAAGGAAATAAGCATTCAACCAGAACAGAAAGAAGAAGCAACAATTAAAAAAAAAGAGGATGGTATAAAAAGCCTTTGGGACATCGCCATATGTGCTAACATCAGAATTATAGGGCCGCGGGAAGGAAAAGAGGAAGAGTAAAAAATTGAAAACTTATTTGAAAAAATAATGAAAGAAAACTTCCCTAGTTTGGTAAAGGAAATAGACACACAAGTCCAGGAAGCACAGAGAGTCCCAAACAAGTTGGATCCAAAGAGGACCACACCAAGACACATCATAATTAAAATACGAAAGGTTAGGGATGAAAAGGGAATCTTGAAAGTAGCAAGAGAAAAGCAGAAAGTTCTACAAAGGAGTTCCCATAAGACTATGAGGTGATTTCTCAAAAGAAACTTTTGCAGGTAAGACTGGCAAGAAGTATTCAAAGTGATGAAAAGCAAGGACCTACATCCAAGAATACTCTCTCCAGCAAAGTTATAATTTAGAGCTGAAGAGCAGATACAGTGCTTTTCAGATAAGGTGAACCTAAAGGAGTTCATTACCAAGCCATTATTACTTGGAATGTAAGAGACTTATTTAAGGAAAAGAAGATCAAAACTATGAACAGTAAAATGACAACAAACTCAAAACTGTCAACAACTGAATCTAAAAGAAAAATGAACTAAGCAAACAATCAGAACAGGAACAGAATCATAGATATGGAGATCATTTGGCAGGTTATCAGTGGGGAGAGGGAGAATGAGGGAAAAGGAACAGAGATAAGAAGCATAATTGGTAGGTACAAAATAGACAGGGGGAGGTTGAGAATGGTATAGGAAATTGAGAAGCCAAAGCACTTAAATGCAGGACCCATGGACTAAGGGCGTGAACTAAGGGCGGATTGCTGGAGTGAAGGGGAGTACTAATTGGAGGGGGGCAACAGGGGGAAAATTGGGACAACTGTAATAGTTTAGTCATTAAAATGCACTTAAAAAATTAAAGGTCTTCATTCATTGGAGCTCTTGGAGAGAAAGAGCTTTAAAAATTAATATTCATTGGAGCTCTTGGAGAGAAAGAGCTTTAAAAATTAATTTTTATAATTCCTTACTTTAGGTAACTGATTACTTTTATAGAAGGATCACTAAGACATAGGAAAGGTAATCAACACTGGTCAAAAGAGAAAGGAACTGCTTTTTAAAAAACTTTTTAAAAAGATTTTATTTATTTCTAGACAGAGGGAAAGGAAGAAAGAGGGGAGAGAAACATCAACATGTGGTTGCCTCTCATACCCCTCTACTGGGGACCTGGCCTACAACCCAGGCATGTGCCTTCACTGGGAATTGAACCCGTGGGCCCTTTGGTTTGCAGGCCAGCACTCAATCCACTGAACCACACCAGCCAGGGCTAAGCATTGTTACTAGAAATTGTACATCTGTACATCAAGGAAGTTCTCCCTCTGTGTGGAATTGGCTGCACCGTGTTGATGCATATGAACCCTGACTGATGTTAGAACCTGCAATGTGGGTATGTGCCCTAGACTGGGGATTGAATGTGCAAACTTCTGGTGTTTCAAACACCAGATAATGCTTCAAACAACTGAGCCACCCAGCCAGGGCAAGAGCCTGGTCTTTTGACTTCAGAAGCATGATGTCTTCATTGCCATTTAGGAAATGGCATCTAGAAAGCTGCTTCATTCTTGGCAGGCTTAAGATAAAAACAGAGAAGGAGAAAGAAAGAAAAAAGGCAGCTTGATGGCTGAGGTCACCACATAAAAGTGTTGTGACTTTGGACAGGTCACACACTCTCCTGGTTTGTTTACATGGACATTGGGACTAATAATCTCTGCCATACTGGGTTATTCTGAAAAATAAAAGCAAAAAACCGGCACCTGGTAGGCATTTAGGAAAGGTTAGTTACTGCTATATTTTAAAAATATATATCAACAGAGGGAATTAGAAAAGCAGAGTGAATAAAAATACATATATTTTTTAAAGCCTATTTTCCCTCCAGCTGGCTATTTGGTATTCTGCAGTATCACTATGATGAATCTGTATAGGAATTGTTTTTTAATCCTGTTTGGGATTTATTGGGTTTCATGAAGTGTGAATTGGTATCTTTCATCATTTCTAGAAAATCCTTAACTGATCCCTTCAGTATTACCTCTGTTTTATTCTTTTTCTCCTCCTTTCAGGGTCTTTAATTATTAAATGTATGGCCTTTTCACTTTGTTCTCCCATGACTCTTAGCCTCTCTGTGTGTTCTGTTTTATTTTTTGGTGCTACTTTGTAATGATTTCTGATCAGTCTTTAGTTTACTCATTTATTCTTAAAACTGTCTATTGTAGTTTTCATTTTTTGGAGGGGAAGAGAGGTTGAAAATCTACTTAATTCATTTTCAATATGCCGTCACTTTCAATAGTGTTTTAAAAAATTCTCTGCAGATATGTTTAAACCTGTCTTTAATTTTTTTGAGTGTACATAAGGATTTTTTTTTATTCTATGTCTACTAATCCAGTATCTGAATGTCTTTGGCCTCATCCTGTTGTCTATTTCTGACTGCTGCTTCTTATTGATGGTGACTTGTTTCTTTGTATGCTTTGTTATCTGTAGTCCCCCCCAAGTTAACAGTAGGAACAATTTGATATCTTGGATGAAGATGTCTTCCTCCGGAGTAGATTCACGTTTGTTTTGTCAGGCTTACAGGGGTACCACTAGTCTTAGACCCTTTGAATTTAAAATTATGATTTGAGGACCAGCCAGGGGATATGTACTTGTAAAAGTCCTGTGTGTGCTGGCTTCTCTCCTTAACCATTGGTGTCTCAGCTTATGCTAATGGAGGAGATGTATTAGGCTCTCCACCTTGGGCAGGCCCAGAACTACCGTAGCTCCCTCCCTTTCCTTACAGAACTGTCAGAAACAGTGGTAATATTTGCCCAGGTCAACAGGTGTCCTCAGGGAAAAGGACTCTGCTTTATGAGCCTCTCCGAGTTCTAGCTTTTTTTTTTTTTTTTCCAGTTTTTGGCCTGATAATTCCTTACTATGTGACCAACTCTTCAGTGCTATTAAGTTTTTAAAAATGTCTAATGTAGTCATTTGGGTTGTTTTCAGCGGAAGTATTTGAATAATCTAGCCTACAATGAACAGGTACAGAGGTTTCCTTTATTATCCTCGTTTAGATCCAATCCGAGACTGCCCCCTTTGCAGCTAGAATGGTGTCTCACAGGGATTTTGTGAGCCTTTTTTTTCACTTTCTATCATCAGCTTCTTTCAAAATCACTATGCTAGTGGGACTTTCAAAGACATTCTTTAATGACTCCTGCTCTGTTATCCACTGATAATGTGGAATAAAGCTTCTTTTGTAGAGAAACTAAGAGACCAGTTATAGTGCTTTAAAATCAGCATGACTGATAATATTCATTTATAACAGGAGGCTATGTAAGTAAACCAACTTAACATGAAACTTAAGATTTCCCGAATTACGTTCCAGGGGAAAATCTTATGCCTTTTGCAGTGGATGGTTATGGTTAAGAATCCAGGCTGTAGAGTCAGACCTGCTGTGGGCAGCCAGCTCTTCACCTGCTGGCTTCCGTGTCCTCATCTGTGAGATCTGCGAGGATTGCATTGACCTCCTTGGGTTATTTTGAGGATCAATGAGAAGATGCATGTGAATACCTGGCATGGTATCTGTTCATATTATGCCCCAGTAACTGTAAACTATTATTATTTTGTAAGCTTTAGCTCCCTTAGCTATAAAATTGGCAGTGTAGTACTTCATAGAGTAGTTCTAAGTATTAAACAAACTTATGCATATACATTGCTGAGTACAGAACTTAGTAGGAATCAAATGATTGCTGTTGTTAGTATGAGTGGCAGTGTTTATAATAAACTTGGAAATGGGTGTTTTATAAATTAGTATAAATTTGTCTTTTATATAATTGATTTGACCCAATGGTTTTGCAGTTTAACTGATCACCCCCAACATTGGGTCTTTTTTGAAAAAACGAAATTGGCTTTTTAATACATATGTGGAAAATATTTCTATCAGATTAGATTTGGTGTTAACTCTGATAAAATAACCATGGTGTATTAACTATAGTTACCATAACTTTGAGACAGAAGCAACTTTTAAACTGTAACTATTCTAGGTCCCTACTATCAATGGAGAAATGAAGAGATAAATAAAGGTCCAATTCTATTGTACTGGAATTGTATTAGGAAAGGTAGATACTATGTTTAAAGCTAGCAGTGGTTGTAAATAAAAGCTGACGGCCCAGAATTGTCCAGTGAGGTTTGTTTGCAGAGAATGGTGACTCAAGTAAGTAAAGGATACTTCTGAAGCCTCTGCCTTTGCGTTTAATTTACCTCTGAGGCTGCCACTGCTGCTAATACCTTTACTACTACCATTACTAGCAACATGCCGTGAGTGCCTACGACTTTTGGACACCTGCCAGAGCAATTAACTACCTTTTTAATTCTTTCAACAAACTTTTGCATGAAGTATTATTAACGCAGTGTTACAGATGAGGAACCTGAGACTCAAACCAGGGAACTGGTCATCCGTAGTCACCCAGCTAGCAGGTCAAAATGAGTCTGACTCTAGGACCAGAGTTCTTCACCTCTGTGCTGTATTGCCTCCCTAACAAAGCTCATTTTCTGACAATACCATCTCACAAACTTTTATTCATCTTTTGCTATTTACTGGGGATAAAAAGAAAGGCTTGTGTTTTCAAGGGTCTGAAAGTTTGAGGAGTCAATTAGGTAAGTAACTTGAGCAGAAATATTCGTTGAAAGAGTCATGATGACTTTTTTGGTCAGTTGCCCTCTCCAGCCTTCTGAGTGGGCTGTGAGGCCCCTGTTGAGGAGGGCAGATAGAAATCTGCTTCCGCCATTGTCTCTCCCTGCAGGTAGAGACATCACGAATTGGGAAGAGGGCCTGGAGTAGGAAAAAATGAACAAATCATACATCTAGGCTAGGTAGAAAGATTCCTGAGTTTTCTACAGAGAGAATTTTGAATTTTGTGGGATTCCTTGAGCATTTAATTTTTCAAGCTCTCTTTTTTACCTCCTCTTGTCCTATTTGGTTGGGGGGTGTCTTGGGGAGACTTTATTTTATATGAGGAAACTGGTAAGACTTAGGAGAAAACAAACCTCTGATCAGCCGTTTGAAATTTATCCTAGTTTTTTTAATACTCTACGCTAATTGCAGTGTGTGTGGCGGGGGGTAGGGCATGTGGGTTCCCCACACCACCAAGCACTTCTCTGGAGACCAGCTGGGAGTTCTGCATTTCAACTTAATTCTGATGCTTCTACCCAGAGACAGCATCAGATGCCATAGGTTAAGGGCTCCGTTCTGCAAGTCTGCCCCTTGCGGAAGGGTGACATCTGACACTTCAGATCTCAGTCTGAACCCAGGTTGTTACCTGTGCTTCTCACTGACTGGCTATAAATCAGAGGTTCCCAACTGCCTTCTTGGGTTTGATTAATTAATTTGCTAAGGCAGCTCACAGAACTCAGGAAACTAGTTTACTTATTAGATAACTTGTAAGGATACAGATCAACAGCCAGATGAAGAAATAACATAGAGAAGGAGCTTGTGTCCTAAGGGAGCTTAGGATCTGGCATGGTGGCACATGGAAGTGCTCTGGTTCCCCACCGGGAAGCCCTCCAAATGCTTTCCTTTGGGGTTTTAATAGAGGATTCCTTATGTAGACCCCGTTCATTAAATCATTGGAATCATTGGCTGTTGGTGGTAAGTGTAACTTCTAGCCCATCTCCCCTCCCGAGAAATCAGGGAATGGAACTGAACTTTCAACCCTCTGGTCATGGTTACTTTCTCTGGTAACCAGCCTACGACTTTAGACAGAGTCCTGAGGTCACCGAAATAACATGATACCTTTATAGCTCTCATCACTTAGAAAATTCAAAGTGTTTTAGGGGCTCTGTGCCAGAAACAGACAAAACCAAATATACAGGGTGTGAGTACCCTAAACAGTATTCTTGTATTTATTATTATTAACCTACTTTTGTCCACCCCTGTATGTTTCTTATTGTAAAATCATAATATCAAAGTTTAGGGCCTGGAAAAAATAGTTGACTAAGCTTACCATTTCTAACCAAGTTTATAAAGTTAAAAAAGTAATAGTTCAGAGTCAAGTTTTTATGATGGAATAAATGATACTGTATACTGTTTTCTAGAATCCCCTTCTAGGCTGTTTCTTAAGTACTGAGTATGGTTAAGTAGAAGGGAGAGTAAGAAAGCTCTTACTGGAACCATAGCTCCTACCATGGCCACCGGGAAAGTTACTGTCAACTCTAAGAAAAGGGAGACGCTAGGTGGGTTACCTAAGGGATCAGATTTTATCCTTCAGGGAGTTTTCCATAAAATATTTTTAGTGTAGGTGCCCTGATCAGTGTGGCTCAGTTGGTTGGGCGTCATCCTGCAAAGTGAAAGGTAGCGGGTTCAATTCCCAGTCAGATCGTGAGTGAGAGGCACTGATCCATGTTTCCCTCTCTTTCTTCCTACACCACACTAAGAATAAATTTAAAAAATCATATATGTGTGTATATGTATTTAGTGTAAATGTCTTTCTGAACACAGCTTGTTACCATATTTGAATAAGCCAAGATATATGAAATTGGAAGCTAGACATTGATTTATTTGAACATATCCTTCAGATTTTAAAAAGAATTGAATGGTTTTATAATTAGTAATCGAGGGATTTTGCAGGTAGGACTTAGGAAATGTTCAGCTAAAGAAATATGCAAATTTTTCTAAGTTATTTTAAGAACAACAATGGGTATCTTATCTTTTTCATTATAGCCTTTAAATCTGCAAGACAGCAGCCCTCGAGAAATGTTGCTACTAAGAATTATTCAGAGGTAAGAAAAATAGTTGTGTTTTAATAAATTTAAGTATTCTGAATTATAAATTGTTTATTCTTTGATTGACAGTAGATAAAAGTGTGGAATATTAAGGCTGGAGAGAACTTAATTATCTACATAGGGCTTCTAGGATTTTTTTGTTTTGTTTCTCCCTTTTTAAAAATAATGGGTCACATGATTAGAAATCCATAAATGTATGTGTATAGTAATGTTTTACAGGGTAACAGTGTTAAACCAAAAGGGTCCATGCATGGAGTATTAATATAGAAGGTGGGAATTTAGTCCATATAAAGGTTTTATTTATTGCCGGCTTCCCTTTGCTGTGTATATTCTCATACCTCTGGCTTGTGTATTAATGGCTATAACTAGACTCAAGAAACTAAAAGGTTAGAGTCTAAGGGCCTCTGTGTTCAGCTGTAGATATAACACAGGCCTCTGCTCTTCCTTGGTATTTCAAGAAGAGTCCAATGTGGGCTTGACTCTCCTGTTACCTCACTTTCAGAATCCATGTATCTTAACTCTCAGGCGAGTACTCTTCCCTCTGTATCAGGGTTTCTCACCGCAGCACTGTTGGCGTTTTGGACCAGATAAGTCTTTGTTTTGAGGGACTGTCCTGTGCATTGTAGAATGTTGAGCAACATCTCCACCTCTGCCTGCTAGATGCCAGTCGTATCCCCCTAATTCTGACAGTCAGGAATGTTTCCAGACATTTCTGAATGTTTTGGGGATAGGAATCATTGTTCTGCATCATACTGCCTCAGCAGCTTTTTCTCAAATTTTATTCTTCTTGATCTCTTGAGATCAAGAGAAGGCACATCAATCAACTGATGACACAGTTGATGGCCATAATTTGCAGAAAACAAGTTCTCTGTCCTTACTGTAATCTTGTTCTTTTATCTCTCTTCATCTTTCTTTTTTTCCCTCTTATATTATTTACTTATATCTGAGTATACTAGTGCTAACTTTTATCCTAGGCTTTATTTAATTATTTTTAATTAACTGTTGGCTGCTAATGTTTCAAGATTATATCTGAAAACAAAATTATCATCCATGTTTGCCTCTCCATGTTTGCAAGGTATTCTTTCTAGATTTTTCTATTATCAGGGAAGAATAGGAGTTCAAAAAGAACAAATGATGCCAAACTAGCTTTTTTTCTTTTTTAAAAAATATATTTTACTGATTATGCCATTGTACTTGTCCCATTTTCCCCCCATGTATGTCCCTCCACCCTGCAACCACCCTCCCACCTGCATTCCTCCTCACTTAGTTCATGTCCATGGGTCGTACATATAAGTCCTTTGGCTTCTCCATTTCCTATACTATTCTTAAACTCCTCCTGTCTATTTTGTACCTACCATTTATGCTTCTTATTCCCTGTACTTTTCCCCCATTTTCCCCCCACCCCTCCCCACTGATGACCCTCTATGTGATCTTCATTCTGTGATTCTGTTCCTGTTCTAGTTGTTTGATTAGTTTGTTTCTTTGTGGGTTTTTTTTTGGTTTGGTTGTTGATAGTTGTGACTTTGTTGTCATTTTACTGTTCACATTATCATCTTCTTTTTCTTAGATAAGTCCCTTTAACTTTTTATATAATAAGAGCTAGGTGATGATGAGCTTCTTTAACTTGACCTTATCTGGGAAGCACTTCATCTGCCCTTCCATTCTAAATGATAGCTTTTCTGGGGATAGAGCGATTTTGGATGTAGGTCCTTGCCTTTCATGACTTTGAATACTTCTTTCCATCCCCATCTTGCCTGTGAGGTCTCTTTTGAGAAATCAGCTGATGTTCTTATGGGCACTTCTTTGTAGATAACTCTTTCCTTTAGTCTTGCTGCTTTTAAGATTCTCTCCTTATCTTTCATCTTGGAAAATGTAATTATGATGTGCCTTGGTGTGTGCTTCCTTGGATCCAACTTCTTTGGGACACTCTGGGCTTCCTGGATTTCCTGGAAGTCGATTTCCTTTGCCAGATTAGGGAAGTTCTTCTTCATTGTTTTTTCAAATAATTTTCCGTTTCTTGCTCTTCCTCTTCTTCTTCTGATACCCTATGATTTGGATGTTGAAACGTTTATCACCTAAGCCTCTCCTCATTTTTTTGAATTCTTGTTTCTTAATTCTGTTGAATGTTTATTTCTTCCTTCTGGTCCAAACCATTAATTTGAGTCTCAGTTTCCTTCCCTTCACTGTTGGTTCCCTGTATGTATTTCTTTATTTCACTTTGCATAGCTTTCACTTTTTCCTCTATTTTGCAACAATACTCGACCATTTCTGTGAGCATCCTGATTACCAGTGTTTTGAACTCTGCATTTGATAGGTTGGCTATCTCTTCATTGCTTAGTTGTATTTTTTCTGGAGCTTTGATTTGTTCTTTCATTTGGGCCATATTTTTTTTTGTCTTGGCATGCCTGTATGTAGTAAAGGGCAGAACCATAGGTATTTGCCAGGGTGGGGCAACCCATGTGGCTACGTTGTGCTGCTGTATGTGGGAGAGGGATCAGAGAGAGAACAATGCTGCTTGCTCAGCTCTAAGCTTTCAGTCACTTCTGCTACCCACAAACAAACTGGGCCTTCTGGTGCTGATTCCGGGGTGGGTGCGTTTGTGTGCATTGTAGGGCCTTGAGGGTCTCTCCAACCAACTCTTCTGTGAGGCTGGGAGTTTCTCCTGCCTCTGCAACCCCCACAGGTGTTTTCAATCAGAGGTTTTGAGGCTGTATTTCCCGGAGCTGGAACCCTGGGTTGTGCAGTCTGTCTCGCTCCTCGGTTGTTCCTTCCAGCTTATCTGCACAAAAATGTGGGGCTGCCTGCTCCACCAGCTGCTGCTTCGCCTGCCCAGATCCTCTAGCCACAACCTTGCTGGTGGTCCTTTCCACCTCGGCTGCCCACCTCTGCCCCTTCTACTGGTCTGGATGAATGTTACTACTTTAACTTCTTGATTGTCGGAGTTCCAGACAGTTTGATTTTCTGGCACTTCTGGCTCTTTTTTGTTTTTAAATTTGTTGTCCTTCTTTTGGTTGTGTGAGGAGCCACAGTGAATCCACCTACACCTCCATCTTGGCTGGACGTCCTTTTTTCCATTTTTTTGATTGGGGTTACACAGTGGTAGATTAGGTGGGTATCAAATGCATTTGATTTCTTCAAGGTACATAAGGCAATCTTCTGATAGTTTTGTGGATAAAATGCAGAAATAGTGACTAGATTCATATCTACTTGTACAACTGTGTTTAATGACTTTTGATTAATAAATAGTTCAGTATCACCCTGGAGGGGGAGATCTTAGGTGCTACTTTTTCAGTATTTTGCCCCTGTGTTTGTTGTGGATGAAATCATAGTAAATGTGTGTGTTAAGTGTTAAGATAACACAAAATGTAGATGAATGGGTAGCATTTTGGATAATAGAATCAATAATTACAAGTATCTTTACTGATGCTTGAAACCAACAAATGTTATTTAATAGGGATAAATGTAACAGAAAGATAGATACCTGGTAATTCCTACCCAGTCTTACACCTCATTTAAAAGTTGAGGTGGGCCCTGGCTGGTGTAGCTCAGTGGATTGAGTGTGGGCCTGCGAACCAGAGGATCGAGGTTCGATTCCCAGTCAGGGCACGTGCCTGGGTTGCAGGCCAGTTCCTGCACGAGAGGCCACCATACATTAATATTTCTCTCCCTCTCTCCTTCCCTCCCCCTCTAAAGATAAATAAAAACATTTTGAGATGGAACACTGATGATCAAACTCCTCATTCGAACCCAAGAAAGTCACAGAGCTCTATCTGCACATGGCCCCGTGTGGGTCATTCACCAGGCGAACCGCGCATTCCTTCAGGTGCCCAGGCTGCTCTGGTGACCGGGGGGAAGCGACGCCACACGTGCTGTGTAGAGTACTACTTGTGACTGGAGAGGCCGGGCTGAGCTCTGGTTTTCATAGTTGCTGATTATGTGGTTCCTGCCTCCTTTATTGTGGTTTTTTTGTCTATTTAAAAAAGCTTGAGACTCAGTTGTTTAATTCATTTTTATTTAGAGCTGTTTGCTGCTTTGTTCTTTCCCTTAGGTGATTGAGGTGGATGACTCCGATGTGGAAGAAGACATTTTTCCTACCACTTCAAAAACAGGTCAAAGGTAGGTGCAGTGATTTCTTGCAAAAAAATCTGAAAAATTCAAAATTATACAGAATTTTACTTGTACATATTTCTATGCCACAGATGTTTAACAGATTTATTCACAACTAGTCAAGTATGTAGAGAAGTGAAGAATAAACCAAGGATTGCTTCACAGAGTTGATGTAATATTTTCATTGAAAATTTGCATAGCCTTATGTAAATTTTTTCTTTATCTTTCCTGTACTTTTTCCTTTATCTTTATTATGCAATGATTTTGTTGATGGAGTACTAAATTCTCTCCAATTAACAGAAAGTAGTTTTGTATTTTGTTAAAACAGTGCTTCGATTTCTTGATTTCAACTTTACGATCATATTTCTATGGACTGAGTCACCCAGGGTGCTTTGGTGAACACTGAGAAGAGGATTGTGTCGACTTGCTCTGCCTTCTTAGAGCACCTGCACGATTTTGTGTCCTTTGGAATTTTGCCTTTTACTGTAAAGCTTGACTTGGTTCAGTATTACTGTTTTCTTCTATGTTAACATTTTAGGTGAATACAGCTTAACTATAAAGCTCAGTTAATGAAAGTTTTTACTGAAGAAAATAATCACTAGCTTATTTTTATACTTACGTTCTCTGTGAGCGTTATGTTGGGTCTGATGGGGGACGATGTTTTAATAAGCTTACTGCTTTCAGGCAACATAAATTATAATGGAAAAGAGAGATGAACACATCTCAATCCATTAAGGGATGATTGAGTCAGTACATAACTATGTGTAGAACTTTTTTAAAATACAAACTAGGTTTGAGTACATATAGGCTTTCAGAAAAAGGAGCAAGAAGTGTGAGGTCTCGTAGAAGAAAGAACTTTATAGAGTAAAATGTACCTGAGGTTTTAAAGATAGTAATTACTTGGATTAGGGGGGTGGAGAAAGAGAGCCAAGAGTAATGGCAGGAGCAGGAGGTTTTTTTTTTTTTAAGATTTTATTTATCTTTAGAGGGAAAGGGAAGGAGAGAGAGAGAGAGAAACATCAATGTATGGTTGCCTCTCGTGCATCCCCTCCTGGGAACTGGCCTGCAACCCAGGCATGTGCCCTGACTGGGAATTGAACCACTATCGTGTGGTTCACAGGCCCACGCTCAATCCACTGAGCTATACCAGCCAGGGCAGGAGCAGGAGTTTTAAAATAGGGGGTAATGGAGGGAAAAGCTCTACTTTGGTGTCACTCAAACTTTTTTATGATCTAAACTGTTTTTTCATTACCTGTGTATAAGTTTTATTTAAATTAATTTAAATGATTTAAATTTAATTTACCAATTAAATACTAAAGAATGACATTTTGTTGGGTAGCATTGAGGCTGAGACAGCCAAAAATTATTGTAATATATACGATATTGTAATATATACTCCATTCCTTGGAACAAATTTTCATTCTATAGATGTGAGAATGTGGTTTATGTGAATTGAGGGTCTGTGTTGGAAAAACTGTTAAGTATAGTTGCACACCCACTTGTTATTCAGTTAAATCTTATTCTGGGACCTGGAGGTAAAAATATAAAAGAAGTGTCCCCTTCCTCCCAGCATTGTGCACTTTAGTGGTATGCTGTTCACAGAGACCTAATAACCCATCAAGATAAATGAAATCTAAGGGAAGTGCCAGTGTCTTCTCGGGATAGGTCACGGAAGGTTTTACAGAGAAGGTGGGTGAGGTTTGAGCTGATGATCAACAGATACTTGGAGGAAATCATCAGGGTGCAGCAGCGAAGTAATGTCACAGGCCACAAGCATCTACTTTGAAAGGGCGATCAGGCAAGGCCTCTGCAGAGGTCACATTTATGTTGAAATTTTCCTGTGCTAGAATTTAGCCTTGCAAATTCTTCCATTGTAGTGGGAGTAAGAGGACCCTTTGAGATTTGACAGAGCTGGCGGAGAATAAGCACCCTCTCCTCAAAGCAGCAAGTGTGAGAAGACCCAGCTCCATCGGCTCAGTAGAGGAGGAGAGATTGAGGGGATTCTGTTAACCCTTGCAGTGGGAAGAACTAACATTTTTGGCCTTCTGTTTATGTGCCAGGCACAGCCTCAGGACAGGTTAACATGTTATCTTATGCTTATTGCACTGCTACACCTGACTTACTGGCTGAACATCTCTAGAGAGGAATTCTAATATGGCTTCAAATTATATCTGAATAAAAATGGAGAAAACTTACACTCCTGGCTCTCAGTTTGATACCCTCAATTCCCTTACTTTTGAACCACATGAAGCTAATCAAATCAAACACTATTTGACATCCCAGACAAAAGCCCATTTCTTCAGCCCTGCAGTCAAAACAGAATTAGGGTTCTTGCTATGATCAGGTGAATCAGTGTGTGTCATAGGCTCCTGGCTCGATTCTGGGCCCCACTGGTTATTCTAGAGAGAAATCAGAAAGCAGGGTCAAGTCTCAATGGGTGCTTCTTTCCATAACCCTCTGCCTTTCCCAAAACCTCCAGCGGCAACGCGTTAACCTGTCACCTGAGCACTCTGGCTTTATGCTTTTGATGATCTTCTCCTTCCTGGAAAGAAGTCGATAACTAACCATTTCCTGCTTAGGTCAAGTACAGAGAGATGGAGGCTCCTGAGGTGGATCAGCTGATAAATTTCCTGATCCTCTACCTCTGAATCTGTGTTGCTCAACGGACCCTCTTTGTCCTTTACTTTTGTGCATAAGAACTTGTGGATGTTTCTCTTTCCTTCTGACCGAGACCTCTTGATTCTCAACCTATTTGCCCAGACAAGACCGTCATACATACTTGTTTCGCTATAATAACATCGCAAAGCATCCCAAAGTTGGCTAAGAACGCACAGTTTTCATTTAAAACAGAAGTCAGCCACCTTTCTTAAAGGGCCAAATGGTAAATATTTTAGGCTTTGCAGACCGAGAGGTAAAATCTAGGACATTGTGAAGGTACTTACATAACCATTTAAAATGTAGCCATTTCAAAATGTGAACATTCTTAGCTCACAGGCAGTTAAATACAGGCAGGCTGGATTTGGCCCACTAGCCACAGTTTGCTGGTCCCAGAGCCAAGATGACTTAAATTTTATATTAATAAAAAGACAGTTCTGGCTGGCATTGCTTTGTGGGTTGAGTGCCGGCCTGCGAACCAAAGGATCACTGGTTCGATTCCCAGTCACACGCCTGGGTTGGGGGCCAGGTCCATGTTTGGGGGCATGTAAGAGGAAACCAGTTAATGTTTCTCTCGCACATCAGTGTTTCTCTCCCTCTCTCCCTCCCTTCCTTTCTCTCTAAAAAGTAAATTAAAAAAAAAGACCCAGGAATATGAGTTCTACTACCACAAGTTAAGCTTCATAAGGGTAAGAATCATGATTTTTTTGTTCAGTGTTTCCCAGGACCTATCATAGTACTTGGCTAGGAGCAAGCATTCAGTAAGTATTTTCTTTCTGATTTGGATTGAACACGAAAACCAGGCAACTGTAGCAAGCGGGGAGTCTCCCCGAAGCTCCTTTCATGTGTTACAGCAGCCGTCCCCCACCTGGGTGGCACCGGGGACCAGTCGTGTGGAAGAGAGTTTTCCATGGACCGGGGCAGGGGCAGGCCGGATGGCGTCAGGACGATTCAAGTGCATCACACTCATTGTGCACTTTATTGCTATTTTTGTTATATTGTAATATATAATGAAATGGTTGTACAACTCATCCTAATGTGGAATCAGTGGGAGCCCTGAGCTTGTCTTCCTGCCACTAGACAGTCCCACCTGGGGTGATGGGAGACAGCGACTCTGGAAGTGTGTCTCGTACGTCCAGTCTGCTCCGTAATCTCGTCTTGGTCGCTGTCACTGCAGGAAACCCTGCCTCACACAGACGGGATGTTGGAAATGAACGCAGGTTTTTCAGTGCTTTTGTGGCAGTTTTAGGATATTCCGCCTTGACTTTTTTGTTTTATTTATTTATTTATTTTGCCTGCGACAGTCTTCTCATTTTTTTCCCTTTAAGGCTACTGAAAATCTGCACATAGACAGGGCAGTTAATTCTCATAATAAAAATGCCGCCGTCCACATGGTCAAAGTCCCCATCAGATTCCATAGTGAGCATGTCGTGTGTCACATTCTGTTCCACAGGGCCATTTTCTTGTCAGTGTGGGATTATGATCAATTCTTTCTGGCAATACTAGCTTCTCACAAACTGCCTCCTTGAGCAGTAAATACTGCACTACTTCACTGTGAAGAAGGAAGGCGGAACTTGGGTTAAATTAGCAATTTTGCTCTCGTGATGTATATTCTCATAACATGTAGGTCATGTTGGCCTCACGGTCATGTCATTCACTCTGATAAGCACTCCATCAATTCTCAAAAAAAACTGCAGCAACAGGATAAAGCCGGAAGGTGTTACTCTCATTTTCACCCCTAGACTTGAAACTCCATGATTACAAAATTCATCCACAAACAGGAGAACTTTTTCTAACAATTTAAGCTGTTCTCTGGCTTTCAGTGTCTCTGTATCTATGTGATCTGTTGTTGGTACAACCTTTAACTTGAGTGATTCTCCGAGTTCTCTTACAATCTGTTGTATAGGTCCAATGATACAGTATAACCTCCTTGGGCATTCACCCTCCATCCTGCTTTCCTCACATTCTTCCACACAGGCTCCTTTGAGCATTCCTTGGTAGCTGTTTACACACCTTAAAGCATCTGCAGCATTGAACTTCATCCCAAAGCCAGAACAGTGCTGGATCTGTAAAATGTTGCCTCCAAACACCGTTTCAGGGAGGGACGGTATATGCACTTCATCGGCCCTTCTCCATGCCCGCGGACTTCACGATGTGGATCTCGGTAGCTTTCAGCTTCCAGGGCCAGAAGGAGAAGGCCGAGTGGCTGCTCTGGAAGCCACAGATCATCATGGCTGAGGCGGGGCCACGTGGACTGCTGAGGACGGGCCGGAGGGGCAGCGGCAGCAGACACCAGTGTGCTGCCTTGCCGCGGCCCTGCCTCCGGCTGTGCAGCCCCATCCACAGGGTTGGGGATACCTGTGTTATGGACACATAACTGAGATTTGAATGCAACATATTTCAGTGTTGCCACCGTTTGCAGGAGTGGGCATAGTGGTAGACACTATAATGATAAGTAAGTGTCTGTAGTGCTTCATGTGTCAGGCACTGATGATCTAAGTGTTTAACCATATTAACAGATTTAACCTTGAAAAATTATTATCCTCATTTTACAGTTGAGAAAATGGAGGCACAGAGGGGCAATAACTTGCCTAAAGCCACGATAGCTAGTAAATGCAATGTTGGAATTCAGACCCTGGCCTCAGAGTCTATTTCCTCACGATTAAGTTTTTACTACTACCTCTCATGTAGATTACAGGGAATGTGTTAACATTTTTTGTTTGTGGCCCATACTAGAGTGAAAAACTTTGCTGAGTTCTCTGGTTCATTTTCTTTGTTTGCCCATGTTTTTGCTTCAGGTGGTCAAACACATCATCATTTTCAAGCAATTCCATGTCACAGAGCCAAACAACGAAAGGGGTCAATTTTGAATCAGATGAGGTAATAGAGTAATATTGTTATATCTTAACTTTTAACTGCTTATAAAATTTCAATATGGACTGCTAAACTACTTGCTGGAAATTTTTTAAAAATATATTTTATTAATTATGCCATTACAGTTGTTCTATTTCTCCCCTTCATTCCCCTCCACCCTACACACCCCCTCCCCCACCATTCCCTCCCTTTAGTTTATGAACATGTGTCTCAAGTTCTTTAGCTTCTATATTTCCCATACTATTCTTGCCCTCCCACCTTTCTATTTTCTACCTACCATCCATGCTACTTATTTTTTGTACCTTCTCCCCCCTTCTCCTTCTCCCACTCCCCTTTTGCTAACCCTCCATGTGATCTTCATTTCTATGGTTCTGCTCCTGATCTAGCTGTCCTCTTAGTTTGCTTTTGTTTTAGGTGTGGTTGTTAATAACTGTGAGTTTGCTGTCCTTTCACTGTTCATCTTTTTTATCTTCTTTTTCTTAGATAAGTCCCTCTAACATTTCATATAATAAGGGCTTGGTGATGATGAACTCCTTGAATTTGACCTTATCTGAGAAGCACTTTATCTGCCCTTCCATTCTAAATGAAAGCTTTGCTGGATAGAGCAATCTTGCATGTAGGTCTTTGGATTTCATGACTTGGAATACCTCTTTCCAGCCCCTTCTTGGCCGGAAGTTCAGATTTAAAAAATACTATATTCATTTAATTCTAATTTGGTCAGCTAACAAGAGGGTCAGAATGCTTTTTTGGCTTCTTTCATTTATATTTAGAGAAATGGTGATGATATTCTGAAAGCTTTTAATGTTACTTTAAAGGTATTTGTTAAATACCCACTATATGCTGCACATGCACACAGTTCATACATACAATAGCACATGGTGGTGATCTTCTTGTCACAAACGTGTTCAGATATTGACTGAAATGTGCCATGGGGCAGGATGTCTGAAATGAACTCCAGTCCAATGTGGTTATCTGGACTGGACAACTATAAAATCTCTTCTAACTTACAAGGGAAGGAAGGGGAAGAGATAGAATCAGGTCTTGCGTCTTGCCTTTATTCATTTGTTTTAGCTAAACTGAATTAAAGCTACATGACTGAAGGATACTGGCCTTTCCCTTTCCTCCATGGCTGCCATTTGAGTGATCTTTTGTAATTTTTTTTGAATTCTTCAGAGGTGTTTCTCTTAAGCCTATTACCTCTTTCATTTATTTATTTTTACTTAAAAAATTTTAAATTATGGTAAAAACCCTTAACATAAAACTTTACCATCCTAAACATTTTTAAGAGTACAGTTCACTGATGTTAAGTATATTCACACTGTTGTGCAGCAGACCTCCACAGCTTTTTCATCTTCCAAAACTGGAAATCCCTGCTTCCTCCTCCCACCAGCCTCAGGCAGCCAGCCGTCTTCGTTCTGTCTCTGAATTGACTGCTTTGTATACCTTATATAAATGGGATCATACAGCGATTGTCTTTTTGGCTTCTTGGAGCATATTGTCCTCCAGGTTTGCTCCTGTTGTAGCCTGCGACTCACCCCTTTTATTTCGAGCTTCAGCAGCTCCTCTCGTGTTCCATGTATCCCAGCTGTGGTTTAGAAACCGAGGAGAAGACTCACCAAATTCAGGCTGCAGAGAAGAATGACAGCTTGAACTCCATCAGTTAGTTAAACAGGAACATGTTGCCGCCAGGAGGGAAGTGAGAGGCGGTTGACTAATTTGTTAATTTCAAAGCATCTAGAAGTGCTTGTGTTTCTATGTTACAGTTTAAAGGTCTATATAGGTCTTGTTAATGGCAAAGAACAACTATAAGCAAATAACTCTATTAAACTTCAATTTGAATTTATCTCTGGTTTATTAACAAGTTCTACCTTTGGTAGCTGAAAATTAATCAACAAATGAAAGTGAATTTTTATTTTTCGAGGCATCCATTTTTCACCCGAGATAGCTCGATTTAGCAAACATTTGAATATGTTAATACCATCAACAAAGCCTAACATCAAATAATTATTCCTTTTTATTAATATCTTAAAAGAAATAATAAAATTTGTGAAAATTATGCTTTTTCTTCTGAATAGTTGTAGAATAATAAGAATTAACGATGTCCTCATCAAATTATATAGTTTGATGTGAGGCTGGTTTCTGTTTTTAATTAACTTGTTGGTTAATCTCTGAGATTCTTATCTCTTCTTACAAATCATAAATCTGTAGCCCAGCAGCATGGGAATTCTTTGAAAGCGAAATGCTCCTGTTTCTTTTTTATGAAATATTTCAAAGGTTGCTTTGCTGCATTCTTTTCTTGCATCAGTCCTAGAGTAGCTATTTATTTCTAATACTAAATGTGTAATCAGAAAAACAAATTACAGCTATTTCTGAGTTAGAAGATGTGGCTTCATTATCTTTTGGCTGAGCTTTCAGAACATCAGATACTATAATAATATGTAAATGAGAAATACCTGTTCAGAAACCAAATAGAAAAGACTCGAGCATTTATTTTTCTGGCTTGTCCACACCTTATTTGTCTTTATTAAGGTCAATAGCTGAGAGAACTATATATAGTCAGTATTGAAGGTACATATATATGCACATATACTAGGATAAATTTTTATTAATACTTGCTAAGAACTTAATCGGACTTATTTCATCAGTGAAATAGCTACTATCGAAGCGGGGAAGAGAAAAAATAATTGACAAGCTATTCATATTTATAAAGGAAATGGAAAAATGAAAGTCCATCCCATGCCATAGGAGAAAATTACTCTTACTGGTATTGTTTTGCCCATAAGAACTGTCTTGTCTCAGTGAAGCGTGGAGCAGTCACGGAAATAACATTTGTATGTCGTTTCAGGATGATGACGATGATCCTTTCATGAACATTAGTTCTTTAAGAAGAAACAGAAGATAATTATTTAATGGCACTTTGTAGTTTTCAAGATTCAGGAAAAATCAAAACTTTGTAGGTTAAGAGTTTACAGTAGAAGATTTTTAAAGTATTGCTGTTACCTGAAGAATTTGAAAGAGACTTACTTAACAGAGAGATAATGGATAAGAATCCCTGTTTCTGAGCACCGTGTCCTGAAGATGGCTCCATGGCGCGAGGCCTTCCCAGCTCAAGGACATGTAACCTGGCCTTGGTGTTTCTCATTTTTATATCTGGTTGTTAACATTACATGGTGATGCTGTATACAATGTAGACTGTTACTTTCCTGACCTGTATTAGTGTATATTTTAGAGAGAGCTTTGCTTAAATATTAATCTTGAATAATGATTAAAATAAATGTGCTATTATACATTTCTGCTTCACAATCAAAGACTACGTCAGTATTTTAATGTACTTACATTTAGCCACAGTTGAGAAATAGAGCTTATAAAACTTAAGCTCTTTAATCTTTAGAAATTTCTAAAGATTCTGTTTGCTGAAGGTAAAACCATCCATGTGAAACTGTGCCTCATCTCACTGTTTGTTACTGAGTATGTGTTCTCTTTCTAATGGTTGTGATAGCGTTAGCCACGGAGACTGAGATGATTAAGATGTACATTATACATTGAGTAATTAGACAACGCTTGTATAAAAAAATAGAACAATCAGAATTATTGACTTTTTAATTTTTTAAAAATATATTTTATTAATTATGTCATTACAGTTGTTCTGTTTCCCCCCTTCATTCCCCTCCACCCTGCACACCCCCTCCCCCACCACCCTCCCCTTTAGTTTATGAACACGTGTCTCAAGTTCTTTAGATTCTATATTTCCCATGCTATTCTTGCCCTCCCACCTATTTTCTACCTACCGTCTATGCTACTTATTTTCTGTACCTTCCCCCCCTTTCTCCTCCTCCCACTCACCTGTTGCTAACCCTCCACATGATCTTCATTTCTATGGTTCACTCCTGATCTAGCTGTCCTCTTAGTTTGCTTTTGTTTTAGGTATGGTTGTTGATAACTGTGAGTTTGCTGTCCTTTCACTCTTCATCTTTTTTATCTTCTTTTTCTTAGATAAGTCCCTTTAACATTTCATATAATAAGGGCTTGGTGATGATGAACTCCTTGAATTTGATCTTATCTGAGAAGCACTTTATCTGTCCTTCTATTTTAAATGAAAGCTTTGCTGGATAGAGCAATCTTGGTTGTAGGTCTTTGGTTTTCATGACTTGGAATAGTTCTTTCCAGCCCCTTCTTGCCTGTAAGGTCTCTTTTGAGAAATCAGCTGACAGTCTGATGAGAACTCCTTTGTAGGTGACTGTCCCCTTAGCTCTTGCTGCTTCTAGAATTCTCTCTTTCATTTTAATCTTGGCTAATGTAATGATGATGTGCCTTGGTGTGTTCCTTCTTGGGTCCAACTTCTTTGGAACTCTCTCAGCTTCCTGGATCTCCTGGAAGTCTATTTCCTTTGCCAGATTGGGGAAGTTCTCCTTTATTATTGGTTCAAATAAGTTTTCCACTCATGGCTGTTCCTCTTCCCCTCTGGTACCCCTATAATTCAGATGTTGGAATGTTTAAAGATGTCCTGGAGGTTCCTAAGCCTCAACTCATTTTTTTTAATTCTTTTTTCTTCATCCTTTTCTGTTTGGTCATTTTTCTCCTTCTTCTGGTCCACTCCTTTGATTTGAGTCCCAGTTTTCTTTCCATTACTATTGGTTTCTTGTGCATTTCCCTTCATTTCAATTAGTTTAGCCTTCATATGTTCCTCTAATTTGTGACTAAAATCAACCAGTTCTCTGAGCATCCTAATCACCAGTGTTTTTAACTGTGCATCTGAAAGTTTGGCTATTTCTTCATCTCTTAGATTTATCGGCTCTGGGGCTCTGAGTGTTCTTGAGCCATGTTTTGATCTGTTCGTGCCTGTTAGGTATGAGGAGTGGAGCCTTAGTTGTTCACCAGGGCAGGGCCACCCAGGTCTCTGGTTTGTGATGCTGTATGTGGGGGTGGGGTCAGAGAGGGACAATGGTGGCTTCCTGCCTCTAGGGCCTGCATTGTCCGTCTCACTGATCGATTCTTCACCGGTTTATCTGCGCGCAAATGTGTGACTGCAATCAGCCCTCAGTGGGTCCGCCCGCTTCTCCACACCTGGGATCCCCCCTCGGCTGCTGGCGCACCTGGGTTGCTTGCCCAGCTCTGTCCAGTGGATCTTTCCTGCCCTACCCTGCTCTGCTGCTGGCTCTGCCCCTCTTACCGTTTTGGCTGAAGGGTTTGTTGTTGTCAGACTTCCATGTAGTTCAATTTTCTGTGGTTTGGCTGCATTTTTGTTGCTAAAACTTTGTTGTTTTTAAACTTGGTTGTGCAAGAAGGCACAGTGCTTCCACCTATGCCTCCATCTTGGCGGAAGTTCCTGACTTTTTAATTTTTATTTGTAAAAGATTATGTTCCAGTGAGTGGTGGTAATTTTCTCCATTATTCTCCATTCTTCATTGTTCTGTCTGTATCTCTCATCTTCTTCTAGGAGGAAAAGATAGTCTTAAAAGGCCCGAGAGTATTCCATCTTTTCACCTGGGAGGCAGCTATATTTAAAGATTGCTTCTGGAAGGTATAGGTCTTGACAGTACAATAGTCTGATATTTTCTCATGTGCAGAAACAAATACTCGACTGGGTAGTATTCATGTTAATTGGCATAGTCATACCTGGAATGTGTCAGATTATGAAAGAACAATTTGCATAGTGGCTGCCTTTATATTATACCTTTTAAATGACCTAAGTCAAGAATTGTGATGTAACACTAATGAGTTTCTTTAAAAATATTTTCTGTACCTAACTTGAGGATTATTTTAGGAGGCAGCATTGACTCAGTGGAAGGCACTGTCCTGTGAGATATTCTCAGGCACTGCTGCCTGCCTTTACCACTCCCAGTGTCTGAATGAAGCAGAAGTGAAGGAAGGAACGAGAGTTGCCCTGCATGATGCAGTGGAAGCCAGTGTGGGTGGCCATCTCTGGGTGGTGCCACCCCTGCACGGGGCAGCATCAGCTCCTGGCCTGCACACCTGCCACTGGAGTACATGTGCTTGGGCGAGTGTCACAGTGAGGGAGGTGGCTGCTGAGGCGTCCTGACAGGTTCCTGAGAAAAATGAATAAGGCTTTCTCCCTTTCTAAAATTGTGCTGTACACGCTGAAGGAGGTACTGCATGTGATGCAGTTGGCTCCTAGGATAAGTGATTCCACAGGTGAAAGAGAGGTGAAATTTCCTTGAACTAGTAATTTTGTCACTTAACTGGAAATACAGAAAATAAAACATGAAAAACAAACCATTTGGTAGAATATTGTTGCACAGTTAAGTGTACCGTATTCTTGGTATTCTGTATCAGTTCGGTGCAGTTGAGGGGTTTGGGACAGTTTCAGACGTGTTAGTGTGGGTGTGTAGGTGATTCCGGGTGATTGTAGAGCACCGGCCATTGCCATTGGAGGCGGAGAGCAGCGATGAAAAAATCTTTGCATCCTAAGGAAAAAAATCTCTGTCATTTACCAGAGAACATGTTTCTCATCTTTTGTTCCCTATCATAAACACAGTAGTGCATTTACAAAGTAATGGACGCGTTGGAAAATTCAAGCATGTAGGCATGGAACTTTTAATTTGGGCACATACACCTTTTCTAAGCCTTTAAAATTGCAAAATACAGTAATAGAGAAGCCACGTAGTTTAACAGATAATTATAAAGTGAGCACTCATGGCATCTCTGCCGCTCAGGAATTAGAACATCATCACAAGTGTCTGGAAGCCCATTGAGTGAGCTCTCCTCAGGAACCCACAGCCTTGACTGTAATTGAGAAGTTCTTTGTTTTGCCACAAGGTGGTGCTTCCACCATTAGATGGCAGATAGGATGATGCAACTGCAAATCTACAATGAAGGTAGTGTAGTTTCGCAGTGAATTTGGAACCTATGCAATAATACTCTCCCTATGCAATAATACCACAATTAGCCTTCTATTCTTACACGTGTATTGTTTTACCTATTTCACCTGGCGCAGCCTGTTACTAAGGGAATTGCCAGTTTGATAAATTTTACATATAAAAAGGTTCAAGAAGAAACTTTTATGCTTTAATAAACAAAGAGAAAAGCCCTTTATTGGAAACACTGAATTACGAAGTCTCCCAGTGTGCCCTGGCTCGCTGTCTCAGTTGGTTGGAGTGTTGTCCCTTATACCAAAGGTCGTGTTGTGGGGTTTCATTCCCCTTCAGGGCAAATACCTACATTGTGGGTTTGATTCCTGGTCTGGGCTTGTGCAGGAGGCACATGATCGATGTTTCTCTCTCTTATTACTCCTCTCTCTAAAAATCAAAGTATATCCTTGGGTGAAGATTTTTTTAAAAGTCTCCCATTGTAAAATTTTTCTGTTGAAATGTACTGTTTAAAAATATCTTCCCCCAGTGTAATCTGATGTCCTTTGTAATGTCTATCATATATTCATAGTATTTTGTGTTTTCTTGTAAAGCTACCTACCATTAAGATTATTATAAAAGTTTGATAGAATTAAAGACTTGGATTTTTGAGTCCAAAGAGCTTCCATGTTCTTGAATGAAGAGTGTGCACATTTTACCATCCGCTTACCCTCATTCCCTTTTAATGATTTTGAACTCAATGTTTATTAGCTAGATCTGGAAACACTAGAAGTTTAGTTTGAGCTCTGCGAGCCCCTTCACATGCTCACAGATTGCCGCGCACATTTGTGTATCTTTACCATGACTGGTCACTAACTCTGGTGTTAGTTGTTTTTAAGTTGTAAGGGCAGCACATATTCAAAGCTCAGACATTGAAAGATGTATCAAAACGTGTGTCTTCTCCCCTGAAATCCTTTTCTCAGACATAATCTCTCAACAGTTAGGTGCATATTTCTCCAATTACTTTTCTCTGAGTGACTATTAACAAAAATTATTGAATTAGTACCCCAAATTGTATAGTCAAATATTTTAGTTCCCATATCAAGGCATATATGTTCACCTTGGTATTCCATTCTTGGTAAAAGACATTCCATTCTTGAGTGTTCCATATCTGTTTTTCTTTCCTTTTTTTTAATCTTCCAAAGACAAAATTTTAACCGATATTTCTCATGCTACATTTCATCCGGTTGCCACTCTTAAGATACTACAAAACCCCACACTATTCTCCAGTCTGAAAGGCAGACACACGTTGAAGTTTTGGAGGCATTTATACAAAAGTAGTTAAACTACAGTGCTTTTACCACCTGCAAATAGGACATACAAATGGACATTTATGAGTTTCTTAAAGCAGCAAGAATAGAAAAGTATTTACCTTTTACCAGAATTCACCAATTTTTAACATTCTGACACTTTAAAAATTATG